ACCTCTCGGGGCTCCATTAGGTTATTTTAGGCTGCCAGCCATAAAGTGCTGAAGTTAAAGATCAGCAGCAATCCCAGCATCTGAACTGATGCTCATATTAATTACAAGTGCCTGACTCATTATACGATTTGCATATCGCAACAGGAATTTAAAGTAAAATTAGACATCCAATGAAGTAGCTATTAAAAGCTGCACTAAAACTGGTATAGATCTGAGGATTCCGCCTTGAATGTTTGAGTATTAAAGGCTCCTATTGTAGATATATTTGCCTAGCAGCAAGGGTCATTGAACTAAAGGACATTTATTTTAAGCAAAGGCGTCCTCAAAGATGACCCACCGAGATGAGATTCTTCCTAAATGAGGCTGAGTCGAATTGCAGTCTCAGACGGATGCACTTTTCTAACAAGACTGGACTCATTCCATCTCTCTTCTCTTGCCAGGGATGGAATTGCCAAAGTGAATATATTTTTTAACGAGTGGAATTATAAAAGCAACGGAGAATCTCCAGCTTTCACGGTATGTCCACACATTTTGATTGCATGCTGCCAACAGCCTAAAATATCACAGAACTACCATCTTTAACATCCTTCTAGTTCAGGGGTAGGCAATCTTGGCTCTTTTATGACTCGTGGACTTCAACTCCCAGAATTCCTGAGCCAGCCATGCTGGCTCAGGAATTCTGGGAGTTGAAGTCCATGAGTCATAAAAGAGCCAAGGTTGCCTACCCGTTCTAGTTGGTCAAATTCTAGAACTATCCTTATAGGATCTTCTCCAGCATCTTCCTTTAAGCCATGTTTCCATTTTCAATAGACTGTATTTTCTCAATGTGGGTGCTATTTGGAAGGTGATAGATAGAATGCAGTGTCAGATAATGCTAATTATTAATACTAATTAGAGCAATACTTTTAGGCATCCTACCCTGGCAGAGCAAACTCTCTTCCACTAATCAATGGACAAGTTCTTAGTCTATGCTTCAATACTACCTAGCCAGCAGGACATTTTGAAAGGATACCGATACTAGATTGATCAGGGGGAAAACTTAGCTATTTTTTCTTACCCTCAATCTACCCATTCATTTAAGCAAATGTTTATGGTGAATGTACTCTAGAGTCATGCATGCACTTTAGATTTGTATGCTCTGCAAACATTTCTCAGTAATTGAGAACATTTGACCTCCAGTAATTTTACTGTAGGTCTCAGTAATTTTACAGTTGATACCATTAGCAAAAGACAAGAATCAGCAGAATATCACAGCTGATATATAGCTGTAAGCGATCAACATTTCATATATAGTACAATGACAGGGTAATTTTACCTTAATTTCATTCAACAAATCAAAATGATAGCCAAAGCTTGATAACCATTTTCTTTTTGCAATGTATCATTAAGCATTGGATTAAATTTCAAAATGCAATTTCAACTTTGACAGGATTGATCCTGCTTTTGAGACAAAAGCAGCATACCCATTCTTATGTATAAACAGAGTGGTTTTCCAATTCCTAGAACCAACAACAAAACTCCTAAAATCTAGGCAATACCAAAGCAAAAGATGTTAGTTCGTAAACCCCCTATCAATACATCAACTGCACACAGAGAAAGAGATCTTTTTGAACCACTTTTATTTTATTTTATTTTGTTTTTTCCTTGTATAGGTGGTGACATTACTTTCCCAGCTAGGGAACCAATGGAGTCTTTGGTTTGGTTCATCAGTCCTTTCTGTGGTGGAACTGGCTGAGTTGATTTTGGATTTTTTGATCGTCACCTGCATCCTGGTTTTCCGCCGGCTGTACTTATATCAATCCTCGGATCTTTATACACCCAGCAACACAAATAACTCTGTCTTCCACAATGTACTTGCAGTTCACAAAACTCCACAAGAAATGCCTGCCGAGACTGGGATCACTGCACTGCCATCCTATAACACCTTAGAAACATTAGACTTACACAGAGTTTCTTGCAGGAGAACAGAATAAAACCCAGACTTTGGATATGGATGCTTTGGATATGACATTGTTATGTACTCCAATTAATGCTGACGTATAGACTCAGCACTTGGAACTAACTGGTTAGCTGGATTCTCAAACCCGGAGAAGATAGGCCTGCATGTCATTTAAAAGAATTTCGAAGGTACAGACCCAGTGACATGAAAGCACCTTTCTTTCTCACTTTGTCCTTGGTGTGAGTGCAAATTCCTCAAGTCTGTATCTGTCCACCACCAAACAAAATTAAAGATGGATTGTGTGTAGATATTCTTTCCCCCATGTATTTTGTAAAGTAAGTTTCTACAAATTGATCTGGGTTGTTGCTCCCCGTTTCTTTTCTTTGAGGCCACTTGCTGATCAAATTAAAGTCAAGTGGACAAAGACACCTAACCCCTTTCTTGTAGGTTAAAAACAAAACACAAGCTTTTCAATATTTTTCCCATCCCTTGAAATAGCTAGAACTCTTTGCTGCTTGAAGTTATGCATTTGAAATGAGAACAGCTAAACAGGATATGAAAGCTTCCTAGGATTAGAACAATCCTAGTACATATACATGGATAAACTTCCATACTTTGAAAAGTAAAGGTTCCCCAATTCTGGGTCCATGAACTACAAAGGTACACTTCAATCAGTGCTTCTTTAAGCAAGCTATATCAAGATCTTTATCCACTTCTCTTCCTTATGAGTGGATCCAAGCTTTGAAGACTGTATACTTTATTTTGCATTTAATATGGATGTTACGTCTTGCTCTACTACTCTTGAGACTCAATATCCAGCTCCTGTATTGTGTACCTCCCTCTGAATGACTTCAGTTAAACAAACTGTTTCCCACTCCCTTTGTTCTCCTGAGAGCTAATGCCACAAAAACAGTGTATTCTTAGTCTTGGGTTCATTCTTGAAGTGTGTGGATGGGCTTCATATTGTCACCGTTTTCTATTCAACAAATATGATACTTCTCCACAAGCAAAACATAGTTATGTGAACATCAGCTTCCTTTTCTCCCTGTCAATAGTACTGTATCAAAAAATCCAGGATGGGGTTAGAAGGTCAGACTTTCTAACTTATATTGTTAGAAAGCATTGTTGTTTTAATACATATTTGTTGTTTTCTAGCATACAACTTCTCTATGCTAGTTCTGCAGAAACCCACTAACCTACAAAGAAAAGATTAATTTACGAACATTCCACTAGTGTTCCATCAATCAAGGTCCACCTTCTATGTTTCATCTCATCAACAAAAAAGGAAAAGGTATGGATCTCCAGCCCTTCCAATTGAAGAATTTTACTGAATTAGACTTTTAGCCCTTTTCTCCACAAAATATTGTACTATTTGCGTATTACAGCCAGTAAAAATGGAAAGTGCTTTCAGCAGTGAAGATTTCCATTGGCAATGAAGCAAGAATCCCACCAACATCAGTGTTTCTCTCCCAGTGCTTCCTTCTGAGTTCTTAAAGATTTCCTTGTTCCTTGACTGCATATGGACAGCCACTTCTCCAAAGAAGACTCTCTCTGAATGTTTACTGATATGTTAGCTTAACCAGATAAAATGATTGTAGCTATCATATTATAAGGATCCCCTTTTGGGCAAATATTTTTTGCAAAAAAAAGTTTTGGTTTTGTTCTGCATTTTTAACATTAGGCATATCAAATTAAAAATGTATTTTCTGAAAGGGAAAACATCTTATGATTTTGACTGGAAAGTATAACTATGACCGAAACCCAGAGTACCAGTGCAATTCTATAATCATTCAGGTTTAATTTAAGTTACTTTGGTTGTGTAGCCTCTTCTGGAGATCTCTTTAAAAAAGTTTATTATTGCTATTTGTTCTTCTTTTTGGAATCCTCTCCATATCTGTAAGTTAAATCAGTGGTTCTCACCCTGTGGTCCACAGACACCTGGGGGGCTGTGATTTTTGTTACAACTTGAAGAAATGTTATGATTTAAATCTTGAATTAAGTCTTGGTGGTCCATGGTCATGGTCCGTGGCCACAAAAGGTATGTAGAGTCTGTAGTGAAGAAAAGGTTGAGAACCACGTCTCAACCACGCAATGGCACGTCTCTTAGCACTTTTGAATACATGGTATATGTGTACACATACACTGTCAGCAAGTTATAGCTTCCCATTCCATGTGCTATGGTTAATTTTTTCCGGTACATCTGTAGCAAATACAATACTCTCTCTGCATTTAAAACAGCCATGATGGAGTGTAGAGAAAATATATCTGGCACACAACAGGTGAAGTAACATAAAGGGCAATGATTAAAGGTTGATACCCTAAGTACACTAGAATAATCCTAATCCCCTGTGCCATATTAACAATGCAAGACAGACAAGTATCGCTCTAATTTCAGTATGCTGTAGTCTATATACTTGTGTTGATAGCAGCTGGGCAGGACTTTAATGCACCATTTCCATATCATCTACACATAACCAAAGCAGTGCCATTTGAGAATTGTGTTTCTTTTGATCTTACACTCTGACTTGAAGAGAAATAATAGAAAAGTAGACTATGAATATGGGAGAACTTCTGTTACTTCTAGTTTCTCTTGTATGCATAAACTGGGCACAAGTTGTTGTCAAACAGCACAAGGCCTATTGTGACAACATTGTGCTGCTCTTTCATCACTACTTTCTCACACAGGGTCAGCAAATTCATGAATTCCTTTTATAGATGTGGGACCATCGTACAATTCTTTTGCACAGTAGCTTTATATTTAAACAGAAGGATTCGAACAAATTCTCATGCGCTCTTAACCACTGTATCCAAGAGGTTAGTTGTATACCGTTTATTTCCACACTGGAACTAATTAGGAATATTACACTGTTAGCATTTTGTTCTCTTTGACATTTGTTTATTCTGCTTGTAACAGTTATTTTGCTAAATTTGTTTATGCAAAAGAAATAGAAAATGCATTATGCCAGTACAGTATAATGGGGGATAAACAGGAGAGGCAGATTAGGCAAAACCAAAAAAGAAAAGAAAAGAAGAAGGGATATTTTTAAGCCCTAGTCAAAGGCTGCCCTTGCTCTGGGTTCTTCCAAAGATCTTGCCTGCTGATAACTGCAGCCGATTTTGTAAAACTTCTACAAGGCCATATAAAGTCCAAATTAAGCACAAATGCTGCTCATCTACTCGATATTCAGTGCAACATCCCATTGTGCAATTGTACATATCAACTACTGAGCCATAATGCAGCCTGTTTTATGCAGCAACGAACAAGAATCCACATGGGTGAAGATCAAGGTTGCCAGCTCTCCTGCATCGATCTATCTAGATCAGTGGTTCTCAACCTTTTTAATGCCGCAACCCCCAACCGGTCGTAAGTCGAGGACTAAACCGGTCGTAAGTCGAGGACTACCCAACCCATCGTAAGTCGAGGACTTTCCCTGCCCGGGAGGGCCGCGCATGCGTGGTTCCACCCCTTGCACCGGCCGAGGCATAGCTGGCAAGCGGCAGAGACGGAGCAGGCCGACCACCAGCTGGCCCAGCCCAAGGGAGGTAAGGCACCCGCCGGAAAAGGGGAAAAAAATGGCAGACAGCCTTGCTTGGCGACCCCCGTGAAATGGTCGATCGACCCCAAATGGGGTCGCGACCCATAGGTTTAGAACCGCTGATCTAGATGCCATGTTGGCCACTTGTGATCTATCTCGTATCAGATTATACATGTTCAGACAATACTGTTTCAGTATTCTTACTTCAGTCTACGTTCTTCTGCTTTACTACCTGCATGTAGAATCCTGTTTCCTCCAGTACTCAGACAGATGAACCCCACTCATTTTAGCGGGTCAAGAAGTATTTGTTAGCGGAGGTTATTAAGAGTACATGAGCTGGTAGTTACATATGCCAGAAGAACATTATGGCTGCATTCCTCACAAGAACAAACCACACATGTGTGAGAAAGCGGCTGAACTCCTGTGCATAGAGAAAGTAGTCCCTTGGTTTAGGCAAAGAGGGCCTAGGGAAATGGGTGTACTTTTCGCCCATGCATAAAGATGGAGAAGTGGGGAGATAGAAAGGGAAGAGGCGTAACATACAACACCTATGAAAGCAGACAAAAAAAGCAGGAGAAAGCAGCCTACTGGCCTTCTCTCAAAACAATACGGCAGCAGATTAAACCAAGATCTTGTCCAGAAGACGTCAAGAAGGGGCTGTACACCTTACTGTGCTTCCTCTCATACTGACAGCAGCATCGCAACTTGCGCCCCGGCTCCTCTTCAGGTGTTGCACTTCCATCAACACAATCCCACCGAAATAGGAAGAGAATTGTCCAAAGAAGTTGGAAACTCCATTCCTGTTCTCCTCCATCATTCCCCCCCAAAGGGGAAACAAGATGGGGATTCGCAAACAGATGGACTCTGCAAATGAAATGCTGGCGCATGGCAGTGAACATGCAAAAAATCAGCACCTCTGCAGCATGCTATGGTGAGAGTAGGGTTACTCCTAGCACAGCCAGAACGAATGTTTAGGAGCCAGATAAAATTGGTCTGAGGTTAAAGTAAATTAAGCCCAGTGGCCACCAGCTGATAAGTCCTGTCAGAGCATTACAGCTTCTGAGCCCCTTCAACAATATTCTCTGGTCAACCACTGACACTACAATGCCTCTTACCAAGCTAAGCCTCATAGTTTTATCAGTCCTTATGTTGGAATCAGGAAAACTACCATTCTTCAGCGTGTTTAAACTCATGTTCATCACTCTCTGAACTCCTTCCACCCTGGAGTCCTACACCTTATTTAACAAGGGATAAATGAGCATGGGTTCACGTACATGTGTCACGGTATATTCTGACAACTATCACCAAGGGATGACCTGAAAGTAAACGTGGTGAGAAACAGATCAAAACAAATATTCAGGCACTATTCCAGAATCCCTGGCATTCTGCACTGCTGTTTCCAAGTCATGAAACCAGAAAGGGTCCTCATTTTATAGCAGATTGCTTTTAAAAGGAAACACTTCTAAATATACTGCAGAGGTTTCCAGGATATAGCTCCTACACTTACTATTCACCAAGGGGCAAACAGTTTGGGACCTTCCAATTCAGTGGGACCCTCCCTTATTTATTAATTCAGTCAAATAAGCCACCCAGCCTTTAAAAGCAAGGGGGACAGGACTTCAAGCAGTACACTAGAATAATACTAATCCTATATGCCATATTATTCATCTCAGCTCTAATTCTGGCAGTACTTGGGAGTAAAGGCATACTTGTTCTTGGATCCAAGGTTAATGAATCAAACCAGTTGGATTCTACCAAATCCAAGAGATGAAACAGTAAAGGATGGCTGACAGTCATCATAAGATCAGAGTTTTGGTCACCAGCAGCATCAACAGGAGTTTATATTAGAAGGAAAACTTGATCAATCCTGGTTGCATGGCACAATACCAGAATCATCTCATCAGTATCACTACTATGAGACCCAGCTTTTCTTCTCTCTCTTCTGGTGAAGTTTTCAATAATACTGTTTGTGCCCAAAGGAAATGCTTTCCTATAGACTCACAGGAGAAGACATCTCAGAAGACTCAAAGGACATCTCAGACTGTAAGTGAAACCCCAGGTGTAATCAACAGACTCCTTCAATCCTCCACAATTCCTCTCCTTAGGCCCAGTGCCACTCTCCAAAAACGAGCTGGTCCACTATGAGGCTGCATCAGCTGTGAAGGAGGTCAACTCAAATCTGGTAACAGTGCATTACACTCTTGAATGGAAGCAAACAAAACTAACAGAAAATTGATGACAAAGCCAGAAAGGAAAGAGAAAGAAGAATTGGGTCTGGAAAGGGAAATGGGGTAAGAAGGCTGTAGACTGGGTGGGGAAAGGGGGAAGGGACACATTCTCAGGTAAAAAAGTAAACTAGGAACAGAAGCAACAGAAGAAAGAGAAAGGAGAAAAGAAGAGGGCATGTTACACCGAGCATCCCACATTTAACAAACATGGTTGAGCATCAGGAGAAGAAAACCCCCCTCCCACCCTCTCTGCCTGCCTCTCATGCAGCAAGTGATAAATCTCATCATCTGGAAAGACAGAACTGTTACTGATCTGTTGGCCTTCAACAGTGCTGAGAGATAAAAGCAGTACCATTTCCCATGCCAGGGGCAAGCAAACATTGTTGTTTAGCCAATGTTTGTGACTCACAAACTCAGCTACTCTGATTCCCCTTAGTACTTACGTGCAATTGCAATGACCACAATGGCACAGATCACTCCCAGCATGATCATCATCTAAAGAGAAGAATTACAATGAGCCCATAGAGAAGCCCCACACAACATCTCCTTTGGTAAAGTCAGGGTCTCCCACAAAGATGGACAATGGACCATTTGAAACTGTTTATTCCAAGTCTATATTCATGTTCATTGATCCAACTACCCCAGGACTCATTATTTTGTCTGGCACTAATTTCCAGATTCCCAGCTATACTTTCCCAGACATGCCAGCATTTTCCTGGAAACATTTCAAATTGCACCTAGAACTTTAAGCATGCAAAATGTTGGCTCTATTTCTGATCTGTGGATCTCTGTCCCCTGTTCAGGAAATGCACTATGGTTTTATTATAACAAAGTATGATTGCCTCAGGAACAATTTTATAAAAGACTGGAAACCCTGAATAGATTTTTGACTGAACTGGATAACAGTGAATTGGGGATATAGGGATTTATTAAAAAGGTTTGCTTATAGGAAGAAGGGAACCATGATATGTAATTTGGGGGATAGGCAGAAATGATAATTACTATGTAAGTGCTGAAAAGAAGATCAGAAGTTGCTTCTTTGGATACTTTTTTCTTTGTGATCTTTCACTTTTCTTTTATTCCTTTATATTTTTTCTAAATGTCCTTGTTTCCATATTTTTAATCTTATGTAACATTTTCTTGCAATAAACATATTTTTAAAAAGTAGGATTGCCTCAGCAGCTATACACTCAATAAGCTGCCCACTTCTGACTCACCTTACAATTCTTCCACCAGTATTTCCTCTTGAGAGCTGCTGCGCTACTTTCAAATACTTGGGCACCAGCTTGGAGGGCATCTGCTCGTTCATCTAATTCTGAGAGTTTCTGATCTCGCTCCAAAACTTTATCCACATTCACACGCATAATATCCACCACCTGAAGAGAAAGAGTAATTAGCTTCCTAGCAAGAGAGAAAGCAGAACAATCAGATCATGACTAATTCAAATAGCTATTTTATTACTAATGCCTATAACATAAGAATCTTCTCAGAGTGCCAGTTTACACCTGGTCCGAACTAGCTAAGGTTCAATGGCATTCAAGAGAAGTCAGACCTAGCTCTCTTGTGCCTACACATAGATTCCAGACTAATTCCCCATTTGACTCCTCCCCCTGGCTTGGCCAGTCTCCCAGTGACAGCAGAGGACCACAAAGAACCATTTTAGTCACTTACTTCTTCCACCTGTGCTTGAGTCTGCTGCAGGCGCCAATTACTGGTCAAATTTGCAGCCCCCCCCCCAGCATTTTCACCTCCTTCCTGTCCTGTCCCTGGAGCAGCTTGCTGTGCTGGATCAGACCTGTGGAGACAGGTCAAATATGAGAGATGATGCAGATGTCTATGTCCAATATGCAGCCAGAAATCAGCACATTAATATATACAACCGTAATTTAGCTGCAGACTTATTATCAACATGAATGAAACTCAAGCACTATAACATGGAAATGAGAGAGAGAAATATATTTGAATTTCCGAAGAACTGGGCCACTCAGATTCTTGAACTGTTCATCTTTAAAGTAAAAGCATCTTAAGAGGAAGCGGAGGACTTAGATCTAACATAAATAAGTATTTTCTTGTATAATAATAGAACTATCTTACATTGTTGTACTGTTTATTAGTTGTTAATCCAGAGGCTTTAGAAGCAGCGGCTTTCTAGTAGTGAAAAATACTAGAGAATGTAAAAGAGAATAGATTCAGTACATATTAAACCAAAGGAAGCCACTATATTTCAGATGTAGTCTCTCTCTCTCTTTCTCCCAAGAGCAACTGTTTATTTAATTTATATGCCACCCATCTCACTACCAAAGCAGTTTGGGTATTACAATTCAAAAGTACTGTTAGGAGATGTGCTGGAGCTTTGCTCTGACTCATCTGAGCTCCTGAGGATATGAAGAATTGAAATAGTATCGTAGGCCAAATTTAATGGAAATCCAGTGTATACCAAGTGAAGGTTCAATGGCACGGTTGTGACATCTCATTTTAGCTGCTAAATTCAGGTCATGGCAGTGTCTTCTCACCAAGAGGATGCAAGTAAGATGACACAGCCATGTTTCAGGAAGTCACTCAACTCTTCCCTTACCTCAGTAACATTTTTTTTAGAAAGATGAAGGGAAAAAAGGATTGTTTAACTCCCTCATCTTCTATAGGACACTATTATTTGAATCAGGCACTGATTATGAAGTGTAATGAATTCATAGAATGTACTACTTGAATAATGTTAACAGATACAATTAGAACCTGAGTCGATAAATGAAGAGGAAGCCTGCAAGCATAAAAGAACTGCTGTGTCATGAGACAGAAACATTTACCAAAAAGTAACATTGCTAGATATTTTGGCTTTACTGCGGCAGCAGGAATAGGTCAAAGAAACCATCAAATAAATCAGTTCAGAGAAACAAGGAGGCATTTTCCAACTCAGCAATGGGGGCAGTGGTGCAAACTCATGAAGGTTACAGACTAATGGCCAGGCTGGCAAAAAAAAAATGCCATCAGAAGCTTTAGGCAAGGTTTCCGTAAGCAATCTTGCCATTATCCCATAGATGAAGGATGAGGAGACTGAAGAAATGCAATTATGGAAAAGGCAGGAGTCCCCGACAAAGAGAACAAAACTTAAGACTTTCTGTTATACTGTCCAAGCAAAGAAATATCTGCAGTCATTTGAACGAGAGTGCCTTGCGCATACAACAGTGTTTGCTTCTCTTTTCGGTGATGAATCCTCCATCATCATCTAACTGCTTTTTCAGCAGAGTTATTATTAGAGGGCCAACTTTAATACCTCTGAAATAAACTAGCTACCTTATTACCCGGGTTCACAAATGCACTTCCAACAGAAACCCATATCAAGTAGAGTTTGCCACCTTGATCATACAAAACTCTTGCTGCGGTTTTATCTCTTTGTACAGAGTCAATCGCCTGTGCTATAATATACGTAAACTTTTTCGTCCCGGCTTGTACTCAAAGCAAAAAATGGCATTTTCGAAGGTGCCTTCTAGAGTTCTGTGAAAATGCCCCTCTCCTCCATTGCCACCTATATTGCCACTCAAGACACCGCTGGAGCCTTCGGCCACCGGATAGCTCTCGTCTGAAACTATTCAAGGGCCGGGGGCAGGAATCGCAACCAGGGGACGGGGAGAAAGATGGGAGATGGCGAAGCACCCGCTGCAACAACGAAAACTGCGGAGCCATCAGATGGGATGAGGCATCCGTCCCTGCTCCATCTCACTTCGGCACCGGACAACCGAAAAAGAGAAGGGGGGGCGATGCTGCAATGCGCAACTCGGCAAGCGCCGCAACCGTGCAGGAAAACCGGCCGCGCATTACAGGAAGGCAAGCAACGATGAGAGCGTCCGTCCCGTTGTTACTCACATGGCCGGCCTCGGCTTTAGGAGCCCTTATCTTCCTTTCAGGAGGAAATGCACGAAGCAGCGCAAGGGTCGATGGCCGGCCGGTGGGAACGACCACGCGAGAGAGTCCCCACCAAAGGCTATCGAAAATTACTGCAGCAGGAACCTCGCCCCCGCTCCCGGGTTTTATACAAGGGGAGGGGCGGCCCTTTCGGCCCCGCCTCGTCACGCAGCGAGCCAATGAAGAGCGCGTTCCTATCACACACGCCCCCGATTGTTGCCGGCAAAACTCCGCGAGCGAATCAGCGTTCCCTGCCTTGCTCTTCTTTAGCACGAAGTCCTCAGCGGAGGCTGCAGCTCGATAGCGAATCGACGTTGGCCAAATTTGCACAGTCCTCTCTTCCAAACCTCTCCGGGATCCTGGGACTGCAATTCGGAACACGCGTGCGAGAATCCCAATAACTTCCGTCAGCAGTTTGCTGCTGTATATGATTGTGCGCGGTGCCAAACTTTTGTTTCTTTTAGATGGTCTTCTGTGGGTGGAAGAAAGAACGGCCAACTGAACTGAAGCTATGACTGGGACAGCAGCAATATATTCCTTGGGAGGGGGAGGGAAATCATACAGAAATCCCGACCTTCTCTTTTGCTTACGGCAGGGGTAGTCAACCTTGGCTCTTTTATGACTCGTGGACTTCAACTCCCAGAATTCCTGAGCCAGCTAAGCTGGCTCAGGAATTCTGGGAATTGAAGTCCACGAGTCATAAAAGAGCCAAGGTTGACTACCCCTGGCTTACGGGTTAACCTCCAGTTTTATGCGAGGAGGGGGATTTTTAAACAGCAACATGTTTGCCTATGAGAAATACATTTGTGAGAATGAGAGATCGAGCATAATTTGAAGAGATTGAAATTTGCTATAGAAAAATTGTAAGGGGAATTTCGGTTGCAAAATCCAAATCGGCTTCTGTTCATTTTTATCGACAATTGGAATGACAACACTACAGCTATATTCTTCCAAGCAGAGCTCCACCGACTTTCCTTAATTCTATCTGCATTTAGGTCTTGCCTTTTTCTCAGAGACCATAGATGTATAGTTGTTTCATACCATACTTAAAACCATCAGACCTAACCTCTGGAGTTGCCACTTCCAGAATTGGCAGGTGAGAAGACAGGGGTGGTTCATTCTTGAAATGTTTTTAAAATAAGATGTGTGCATGCAGGTGCACCTTTAAGTCAGGTTTTGTTTTGTTTTTTACTCCTGGACAAGTCTGTGCAATTTTCTTGCCAAGTTCTTTGGAAATATATTGCCATTGCTTCCTTCCTAGGGTTGAGAGAGTGTGATTGGCCTAGGGTCACTCAGCTGGTTTTGTATCTAGACCAGGGGTGTCCAAACTTTTTTCAAAGAGGGCCAGATTGGATGAAGTGAACGTGCTGGAGGGCCGAACATTTTTCCGAACATTCTTTGAACCATTACAATTAAATGCAAATGAATTATTTTATGCCTCTTTCCTCTCCCTCTCTTTCCTCTTTCTCTCTCTCTCTCTTTCCTTTCCCTTTCCTCTCCCCTCTCT